AGAGAGTCACCTCATACAGGAGACTGATTATTGCTGTTTCAGATTTGGAAAACCAAATTTGACATTTCAGATTAAAAAAAAAGAACTTAATCAACCCTAAACGTTTTTAATTATGTGATGTAATAACTCATGTTTCACTTGGCCTTTTATCAAAATTTGAATGAATCTGACCTAAAAACCCAAACCGAAACAGTGCAAAATACTAATTTGGGCTAACCCGAATTACTCCTAGCAATTAGCAAATGATCCACCCCCTTGATCACCTTGGACCACAAGTGAGTCACCTTCTTTATCTTCCTAAAGGTCCCAAATATTCTCACCCACAATCTTGAGGAGAATGCTCTTCAAATATGCACCCATCCCTTTCTCCATGTGTTCCACACCCACAAATTCTATCCATCAAAACTTTGCAAATACACACTATCAAGATTTTTATATTGGTCTCAAATGACACCATATTTATAAGAACACGCTTCAATATATATGAATGGTTCGTACCTACCATATGGCCACAACTCAGCCACGTCATGTCAGACTATGATGAGTTACCACGTGGCAACCCAACAATTGCCCATATTTCAATCACAACAATTTTCAACCCACCCTGTCTTTCCAGTCCTTTTCCTCATCATCTTGCTGTGCATTTTACGCAAATCAATTTCTATTGCTTTCTCTTTGTCCATCGTTTTCTTCCTCTTCATCTCCTCGTGTGATTGAAATTGACAGCCCCTTCCACTCCAACCCCCACTCATTCCGTTGTCAACCCATTATGTCGTTATTCATGAATTAATTAGAACACAGAAGTTGATCCGAATTGGTATTGTGACCGAATCACCTGTCCGACCAGCCGGATCAAGAAGCGGCTGAAATTGAAAACACTGCCAGTCATTGATTGGATGGTTGAACCGATAAACTAACGACCCATGTGAACCGCCAGTGAGAAAGCTTTCCGAGTTGACGTCGGCTTGGATAGTTGGACTTTAAAACGTTGGTCAAAAATCGATTTGGTCGTTGATTGGATTACCAAATCCCAATGGAGCTCATTTTGGTAGGACCCAACCTGTGGATTTGGCAGGAGGTGGTTAGCGACATTTGCTGTCCACACGAACTAATACCACGTGTGCATCGTGCATTAACATTGAGTGAAGAAGTTTCACTGCCGACGACGCCCTTTCTTTAAAATATCGGTTATAAACATAATCCGCCTTACATACAGTTATTATCACGTGTAACATACATGCTGCAGCAGTGCGGCCTGAGTGGTTTCTATTGAAGGAGATCGGCTTCTATCGGGGCAAATTTATGCCCATACCGCTCTAACAGCCATTTGTAATCTTGCATTGAAAATATTTCTCCATGAAATAAAGCATATAAATATAATGATATTTTCAATGCAAGACAGTAAAAATTGCTCGAATGGAAGTCGAACTCTGATTGAAACGAGTTTAAGACTGTCATTTGCCATGGGTCGGGTCTGATTCGAGATTGCCTGTGATTGATTATTAACCCAAAACCATCCTCATTATTTATCGGGTAATCGGGTTTGATACGGTTAAATAAATAATAACTTAGAATTTGATTTTTGATAATATAATCTTAATAAAAAATGACAATAAAATAATAAATTATTTATATATTAATAAGTTAATATTTGATACTGATCCCAGATTTTCCAATAACATTTGTTAATCTCCAAACTACCTGTAAGACAATAGATATACTTATTGCCATGGCATCGCACTAGAGCATTACGATTCCAGAGCACTCAGCTAATTTTATTTTACTTTGTTTTATTAATTAATTTATATTTTTCCTAATCTTATTAATAACCTAATTCTTATATTTTTTATTAATTTTATATTAAATATTATACTAACAACATTTCAATATATTTTTCATTTAATCAAGTGAAACTAGATCAATTAATCAATTTATTTTTTTAATATTTTTAATATAGTTAACTTAACAATGATATTATTTTTTATTTTATAATATTGCTAATAACCTAATTCTTTTAATTTTTTCATTATTTTCTATTTTTTAATTCTATACTAGCAATCTTTCTTAAAATATTTTAATTTTTTTTATTTATTTTTAATAAGATATTATGTTTTTCTTTAGAGCTTGTGAATCCCATTATGACCATGAGAGAGGTGAAAATGGCATGACCAGATCTTTTACTGATGAAGACATCTCCCTCTTTCTCTTCACTTTTTTCTATTAGACTTTTAATATTTTGTTTCAAGTCTTGAGATATTCATTAGTGATATGAACGAAAGATTTTTCTGAAAAAATTGATAATTTATTAGTAAAGAAATAATATTTAAGAGTAATGATTCCTTAATTAAAATCTCTATATTAAGTTAGTTAATTTGAATGATTTGCTTTAATTTGAATAATTAAAATAACTAATTGTTCAGACTTATTAACTTAATTGCTAAAATTATGGTAGCTATTTAAACTATGGTAACTTACTTAAACTTTTGAAATTACCTAAACCCTTCATAAGAATAACTTAAAATTTTTGAAAATTTTAAATTAAGTTATCTACTTTACAACAACAGCAAAATAATTGGGCTATCTCACTCCCGTTTTATATTTTTATTTTATTTTAGCTTTGACTTTCAAAATGATTGGGACATCAGTTTATCTATAGTGCTATATTATTACACTTCCTTTTTCTCATCTCAACTTCTCTCTCTCTCTCTAAACAGCTACACTTATACTACATGTTACAAGAGAGTGAGAAACGCATCTGCAATAGGATCTCCTTAAAGCAAAATCTCCATACCTGCAATAGGTGAGAGAGGGAAGGAAAGTAGGGATAGCCCAAAATAAGGAGACCGGATCTGCTCTTCACACAGTGCACCTCACATCGATCTCACTTGCACATTTCACCGTATATTGGAAACACCTTTCATACTAGTGTTATTATTCATGAGAGATGTTCCCAATGCAGGGTGGCATATATGTGCCTATAAGGTCGGTGTGTGGCATGTTGTATTAGGAGCAGATTCCTATTGCAAAATAAGCCATAAGGGTATTCTATTTTCATCTTATTACTTTTATTTTGGATCATCTATTTTTAGTTGATTTGTTTGTAGGATATTAGCTAATATGTTTTACAAAATAGTTTTGCTCTCAACAACATTAGACTATATAAATATTATTTTTGGCATCAATTTGACTTTTATATTTTCTTTAAAACCTTTATATTATGTGAACTTCAAAATTTACAACTAAAATAAAACAAATTTTACTTTTTTATCATTTATTGTTCTAATAAATTATTTATCCATCATCCCCTGCGAACTGCTAGTATATTATTAACAAAATAATCGATTCACAGTTCAAAACAAGCAAAAAATTAGAACATATCCTATTATTCAGGACAAAATCACAAAATCAGAACCGATACAATTGATTTAGTTCGTTCGATATCCAATAGAACCGACCCATTGACAGCCATAGAAGAGGCACGGTGGGGTATGGTATTACTAGGACGAAAGAAACCAATGGTCCTGATGTGAATCATGGATGGGGATATAACATTTTCTAATTTCTACTACCAATTAGAAATCAAGTTGGACATATTGTTCACCCAGGACCCGACCCATTTCCACCCGGATTCTAATGGGCCATTTCCGTTATTTAGCATTTGGTATTAGGTTCAATCACATAGAACCCACAATCGTACAGAAATTATAAGTTTAAAATAAGCGAACAAAGAGAAGCATCAGCTACCTAACTCCCACTCCGCTGCCGGCCCCCGGGCCCACCTCCTCAAATGTATTCTATTTCTTTTTGGTTCACACTAACATGGAGGGCCAACTTAGGCCCACGTTGGTCCTACTTGCACTTGCCCTGTTTGTTTCTTCTAATCTATGTGGATTTTCTTCTCAACTGAACCGGGTTCCAGGTATGTAGATGAACTCGGGTTGATTATTAGGTACAAGGTAGTGGGTACACCGGTACAGGTTGGTTGACTGTTGGGGACACTTCTGGGAGGCTTTGTAATTATAAAAAGTCGCAGGTGATATTTTGAGAGGAGAGGCGAAGTCTAACCTCACGCGTGGGACAGAAAAGGCACATGCTGTTTAATCTTCAACCTAACGCAAGAGGGTGGACTCAGCGCCGAGTCGCCTTCAATCCGGGTATTAGAAGATTCCTGATGCCAATAATAGAATTACAAATTTACCCTTGTAGATATGGCAGAATTGCATATTAAGGAAGTCAAACCCAGTCTAAAACTTTGTTTTTTTTTTTTTTTTTAATCTAATTGCAATTTGCAACAGAGATGAAAATTATGGGTAGAATAATCAACCACGCATTTTTCGTAAAAACTTCCTTTAGCGAGTGGTTTTCGGAGGTCAACCAAGGATTCAAGAATCCAAGGGATTTGGAAATTTCGAACCGTTTTCAAAACTTAGGATTTTTCTGCAATCCCCTTTGAGATTGTTTAAATATTAATGAAAATTAGAAGTGAGAACAATAAATATGGAAAAAGGATGAAGAATTTTTTCTTCTTTTTTATTTTATTTTATGAATTAACTTCTCTTGAAATCTAATTGCATGCCTTGTTGTTGGTAGGATCCTTTCAATAACTGGATAATTGATGGAATTTCTGTGGACCAGCTTGTGTAGATGTATGGACCATCTAACAACATCAATATGAGACAATATTTCGTTGCATCTAATTTTGTGTAATTTCCAAGTAACAATGGCTCACATTGATCGGATACTCCTCCTCCTCCTCTTCCTATTACCTTCCATTCCAATTCATGCTTGGAGTTGGAGAAGAATGTAAAAATTTGAGTGTTTTTCGTTACGTGGACTCTGCTGTTAATAAAATGCTTTTATTCCCTGTTAAAGAAAAAAGAAAAATAAAAATAGAGCGTGTTTTTTTTTCTGGCAAAAATAGAGCGTGTTGAGGGAATGATGTAATATTAATACTAGGGGTAATTTCGTCATGCAGCATAATATATATTCAAGAATCCCTTCCCGTTGGACATCTTGTTCTTCCGTTCTTCCGTCTTTTCCAAAGAGTTTGCTTCCTCGGCTGCCATTAATGGAGGCCGAAGAAGTGCTGCAATTGTACGATCATTACTGGTTCAACCATCAAATACTCACCAAGAAACCGCCTTCATCACCTCCAGTAGCAGACCCAGTTCCTGAAATCAAAACAGAAACTCCGGAGCCAGAAAGTTCTCGCCCGCCGGCGCTCCATGTTCGTTCCCGAAGCGATGAGTTGAGCTCCAAAACTGGATTCAGATTGGAGATACACTCTCCAAACTCGGTCCTTCCGACGCCGAAGCTCGAAACAATCCTCTCAGGCAAAGAAGTCACAGAAGCTAGAGAAGAAACTAGAAAGCAAGAAAAAGTTGAGATTGAGAAACCCTCCAAGAAGGCGACGGGTAGAAGAAGAAGAAAAAAGAAGGGGAGCAGCAAGAGTCTATCAGACCTGGAATTTGAAGAGCTTAAAGGGTTCATGGATCTGGGTTTTGTTTTCTCTGAAGAAGATAAAGATTCGAGTTTGGTGTCTATCATTCCTGGGTTGCAAAGATTGGGAAAAAAAGACGTTGAAGAAGAAGCCATTGACGAATCTACAATTCCAAGACCTTATTTATCAGAAGCTTGGGGTGTTCTAGATCAAAGAAAGGAGAGGAACCCATTGATGAATTGGAGAATTCCTCCTCTGGGTAGTGAAACTGACATGAAAGATCATCTGAGGTTCTGGGCTCACACGGTTGCATCTACTGTTAGATGATGAAAATATCTGTTCTAAATTTACTTTCTTTTTTCTTCACTTTTTTTAGCTTCCATTCTTTTAGTTTCCTTTGGATTTTTTTATGCTCTTTATACATAGCTTATGTAAATATAAATAAAAGGAGGTATAATTCAAGTTTTGTCAGGCTTTAGGTGATTTGATCTGGTCTCAGGCTCACATCTCACAAACAATGAATTAGAAGCTATACTGTGTTTAGATGATTTCAACTTTTAACAAATTATGTTGACTGCTACTCTGCTAACCATTGCCAATTGGTTCCATCTTCTGCCATGGGTGTTCAGGGAATAAAAGGGTGGGTTTTGAAATTTGGTTTTTCCATAATTCAATGCAACACTCCTGTGAATGTTTCACAACAATTGGGCTCTTTTGAGCCGTTTGGATTAATAAAATAATAACCTGAAAGTAAGTCTGATAAAGTAGCTAATAGGGTTTCTACCTTCTTAGATTGTAGAGCATCAAACAAAGTAAAAGAAACAAAAGTAGGAACTTCGGACATGATTAAAGCAGGAACTCCAGGCTAAAGAAGAAACTTTAACCTGAAGTCAAGGTTTAATGGTATAATTGATTCTGTTCATTATCTCCAGTTTACTGCAACCACTTGGGGTTCTCTAAGAATATGAGGAACTAAATGTTTGTCAAATAGGTCATCCTTGTTTGCAGCCATTTGAAGAGAGACAATGAGCATTCAAGTCTTCGGTCTGTGACAAACAGAACCTGTACATGGCTCTGGGACCTCCATACTTCCCACCTTTGTCAGTTTGTTCCATCCATCAAGGTTCAGGACCCATTTTGCAGCCATTTGAAGAGAGAGAATGAGAATTTAAGTCTTTGGTCTGTGACAAACAGAACCTGTACATGGCTCTGGGACCTCCATAACTTCCCACCTTTGTCAGTTTGTTCCATCCATCAAGAATCAGGACCCACCATTGAATGAGTCCCAAGAAAAACAACGGGTGCTTCAAAAATCAGCCTACTCAGATGAGTTTTATCCCATGTGAGCATTACTTGAAAAGATGCTATTTTAAGAGAAGCTTTTCCCACCATTCAATTACATGCAACAAAATCAGGGAATTTATGATCTCCTCCTGTACATTGGCTCTGGTTCAGACTAATCAATATTAAAGTAAGACCCATCCAATGGTGGCTCCTAAAGCTCAAAACAAAGGGCAGGTGGCAAGTTGTGGGCCCAGACCCGTATACTGTCCTACATCCCTGAGCCTGGCTTTTAGCAGAAATATTGTAGGTTTGATAGTTAAGCAAAACCAAGAGTACAAATCTATTTTCTTGAATCTGTTGCCCACGCAGACCACACATCTGGAATACATGTATCATTTCAAACGGGTCCCATGACCAAACTGTCAGTACAGGTGGATCCCGCACTAATTCCAGATGGTTGGGTGTAAGACGGATTTGTAGGGCATAAGAGAAAAGGAGAATTTATATGATTAAAACATTTTATAAGTTGGCTTGGCTTTGTACTTACTGCGGGGTGGGACCGAATCTTCCTGGCATCTTGTAAAGCCAATTGGAGCCATATTGGTATTGGTATGTGAGACACACTGTATAACTGCCATGTCATGTAAACATCAATGAACCATCTTTCAAAGCTATTACTGATTGTGTTCCTAAATCAAATGAAACATGAACACTACCACGAACCAAAAAGTTCAGAAAACAGATATCTAATGCAATATTTATTTGAAATCATGTCTTAAATTTAATTGTAGTGTTTTAGTTTTCAATGGCAATTTTGATAGTTAAATGAATGGTGAGAGGGTTCACAATAATCACTGAACCAGTATTGGAGCTGAAACTTATCATGCAATTTTGTACCATATTTTCTAGTTCAAATTCAATGAAGGGACCATTATAGAATCTTTCTAAATTATGGTTTTTAAACATAGTTGGAATCCATTTCATACCTATCTGGGTATTATAATAAGCTTAACAATTAATACTCAATTGACAATGTTATAAAGAATTCAAACTGAAGGGAGACAATAGAGCACTTCTCATCAAATGGATGAATACTGTGCTACTGAAAGTGCTTTTATGAGTCTGATCATTTCTCTCCACACCATAGACCATTGCAGTTGTTTAGTGCTGGCCAAACTTCACAATTAACTTATTTTAATGCCATCCACAAAATGGTGGTTATTGATGTAATCGTTTTTTGTCACATACTAATTTTTTGTGATGTATAAATTTTTTTTGGTTAAGTACCTCGTTATTTGACCCGGTGGTGACGTGCCTTGGTGATGAGCTACTTGGTGGCGAACTCTCTGGTGGAGAATTACCTGGTGGCAAGCTCCCTAGTGGAGAGTTAGTTGGTGACGAACTGCTTGGTGGCAAACTCCCTGGTGGAGAGCTACTTGGTGACGAACTACCTGTGGCGAACTGCTTGGGGGAGAACCGCCTGGTGGACTCGTCATTTGACCTGCTCCTAGGCGGCCTGCAACTCAGAGGATGGTGGAGCTCCCTGGTGCAGCGCAACCCGACTGCCCTCTGCATGAGGTGATTTCCTCTCCTTTGTAGGCGGCGGGAGCTGAGGGACTTGCGAGAACT